GCAAAATTACAGTGATGAAGTGGCAACTGAAAAATAATTTTATGGTTGGGGGTCACCACAACATGAGGAACTGTATTAAAGGGTTGTGGCATTAGGAAGGTTGAGAAACACTGGAGAGTATGTTAATTCTATAAAAGGAAGAAAACAAGAATACAGGTAGTCATTTGTGAAGACAGAAGGTATCTAAAAGAATACTTTAGAAACTGGGTAGGGGAAATGGGTAGCTGAGAGACAGAGAATGGAAGTCTTTTTATTATTATCCTTCTGTTCTTCTGAATTATACTTGGTGAATACATACTCAAAATAAGTTTGATTTTTTTTAAATCACTTCAGCCAAGGCAGATAAAACTACAACTAAGAAATACCATTCTACAAACTAATAACTTGCTCAAATGATGTAATTAGAAAACTAAGTTTTTAACACTAAGGGTGTCAAAACTATGTGTAATTCTAGTATGTACTTTCACAGGAAAGGGCAATTTAAATAATAGCAAAATGTATCCAAAAGAAAATTGAAATCTTCGCTTAAGCAAAATATGTAGAGTACTCATACAAACCAACAAAAGGAAAACAACTAATCCAATAGAAAAATGGGCAGAAAACCTAGACACTTATCCAAAGACAAAGGGCCAAGAGACATAAAAAAAAATGCTCAATGTTACTAATCATCCAAGAGATGTAAATCAAAACGACAATGAGGTACCACCTCACACCTGTCAGAATGCCTATCATCAACAAATCAACAAATGAGAAGTGTTGGAGAGGATGCGGAGAAAAAGGAACCCTCCTTCATTGTTGGTGGGAATGCAAACCTTCAGAATGATAATTGTGTGTTGTTTAAGTCAGTAAGTTTCTGGTAATCTGTTACTAAAAATAGGAAACTAGCACAGGGAAAAAGCTAGAGCTGGACTCAGCACCATCTTCCCTGTTGTTTACTAAAGGGGCAATTGCCCATTTTCTTAAATCGTAGCTCCATCATATTTGATATCTTTGAAAAGGTCAGTGTCTGCCAAATTCAGTCAACAGCAACATGCCTGAATGTTCAAAATCTGTACTAGTCCACAGGCTTATCATGGTGGTCAGACGTCTCCTCCTAACCCAGAAATACCTTTGAAGGTCACTGTTACACCTGCAAATGATCTTTCTCAATGTAAAACCTGCAAAGCACACACTTGCCAACCAGAATGAGAGCAGGAGGAGGTGGTATGGTCCTCCCAACTCATGGAAGTCTCAGGGCTGAGTAAGGTCTGCGGTGGTATCTTGTCTGTGGCTACCTTCTCATGTTTCTCTAGATGCCAGTGAAGGACAGAGGGCTCAGACTACCCTACTCATTTTCAGTAAGCAGAGTTTCAGGTGTTGCCATAGAAAATGTGAAATGCGGAGAACCGAAGATGGCGGCATAGGTTAACGCCGGAGATTGCCGCCTTGAACAACCAATTCAAATTAAGCTTGAACCAGGGACCCACAACATCCAGAAACACAGGCGGGCTGGCTGAGTGGAAATTCTACAACTAGGAGTAAAGAGAATATTATATCCAGACCCAGAGGGGCCGCAGTGCTGAAGTGAAATTCTCAGGTACCGAGTGCACGCGGAGCGGGGCTGGCGGCGCGGAGGGCGCGAGTGTTTACAATCGGGAGGGAGTCACAGACTCTGAGCTCCAGATCCGGG